GTCATGCCCTTAGGGACTCAAAAACATGTGAAATATGGATCCTAGCTCACTTGGAAACTCATTGAGGGTGTTTTTTCTTAGTGGGAGCTTGTCATATTGCATCTATTATCTGTGTTAGTAAGTGTACTAAATGACTTGCATATTTTCTGTCTGTTTGTTTGTTTTTTTCTGTAGTATATATCTGTTGCAGGAATCTGGTTAATCTCACCATGCGATCTATCCTTATGAAGGATAAGCCTCTGACCAAGGCTTCTGGATCGATCATTGATGCTTATTGGAAGCATGAGGATGATGATCTGGACGTGTCCAGCTTGATACTTGGAAAGATGTCTTCGGAATTGCGTGAGCAATTAGATGATATGGAGTATTCATTGATGGTTGATCAGTTGAATATGTCATTTCAAGAGAAAGATGAGAGCCAAGGGAAGAATGATATGGTGGTTGTTGGAAAGAGTTCCAGCAACAGGAAGCGTTCCAAAGGTAAGGGCAAAAGGAAATTGACAAGTGTTGTCACTAAGCCTAAGCCCAAACCCAAGAAGGAAGAGTGTTATTTCTGTCATGCCATTGGGCATTGGTACAGAAATTGCAGACTCTACCTGGAAGATCAAAGGAAGAAGAAGCTTGCAGAAACTTCAACTTCTGGTGTCTTCGTTATAGAGGCCAACTTGTGTACTTCTTCATCATGGGTATTAGATACCGGATGTGCCTCGCACATTTGTGCAAATGTGCAGGGGCTGCGAGGAAGTAGATAATTGGCGAAGGGAGAAGTAGATCTCCGCGTTAGGAATAGAGCAAAAGTTGATGCATTGACCGTCATGACTTACGATCTGACTTTACCTTCAGGCCTTGTGTTGGAGTTACATGATTGTAATTTTGTACCTGCTATCAGCAGGAACATCATATCGATTTCATGCTTAGACTCAGATGGTTTCAGATTTGTTATTGAGAACAAATGTATGTCCATTTATAGAGGCGAATTATTCTATGGTAAGGATTACCAGTTTGATGGCCTTTATGTTTTGGAAGATGAACCACCTAGATACAGGTCGATCTATAACGTTAGTACCAAGCGGTTTAAGCCGAACGACTTAAATCCGACCTATCTCTGGCATTGTCGACTTGGCCACATCAACGAGAAACGCATAGCGAAGCTTCATTCCGATGGACTTCTTGATTCTTTTGATTATGAGTCGATTGAATCATGCAATTCTTGTTTGATGGGCAAGATGACAAAATCTCCTTTTACTAGAAAAGGAGAACGGGCTACGGAGTTGCTAGAACTCATACATAGTGATGTGTGCGGTCCTATGAGCTCGCCCGCTAGAGGGGGTTATCTGTATTTCGTTACGTTTACTGATGATTTCAGTAGGTACGGTTATGTCTACTTGATGAGACATAAGTCTGAAACGCTTGAATTGTTCAAGACTTTCAGAAATGAGATGCAGAACCAACTTGGCAAGACGATCAAGTTGCTTCGATCTGATCGAGGTGGCGAGTATATGAGCCAAGAATTCACTGACTATCTGGCAGATTGTGGGATTGGCTCACAGTTGACTCCACCTGGAACGCCACAGTGGAATGGCATGTCTGAGAGGAAGAACCGAACCTTATTAGATATGGTACGGTCTATGATGAGTCAGGTCGATCTTCCTAAATCCTTTTGGGGTTACGCCTTGGAAACAGCAGCGCTTATACTGAACAACTGTCCAGCAAAGTCGGTTAAGAAGACTCCATATGAGATATTGACTGGGAAGCGTCCCAGGTTAGCATTCATGAAGATTTGGGGATGTGACGTTTATGTGAAACGTCTGGCTTCTGATAAGCTATCCGCCAAGTCTGATAAATGCATATTTGTGGGTTACCCTAAGGAAACGAAAGGGTACTGGTTCTACAACCCATCTGAGAACAAAGTGTTTGTTGCTCGGAATGGATCTTTCTTGGAGAGAGAGTTCGTCTCCAAGAGAGTTAGTGGGAGTAGAATAGATCTCGAAGAAGTTCGAGAACCACAAATAGTCGAAGAACCAAGTGAACAGGTCGAAACAGTTCAACCTGTATCACAAGTTGTTAAGACAGCACCTACTAGTGAACCTCGGAGATCTGGTAGAATCCGCCAAGAGCCTACAAGATATGGTTTTCTTGTGACTGGAAACGAAGACCTCATGTTGTTAGAACATGACGAGCCTACGTCGTATTCAGAGGCTGTGGCGAGTTCCGATTCCGAGAAATGGCACCAGGCCATGGAGTCTGAGATGCAATCCATGTACGACAACAAAGTGTGGACTTTGGTCGATTCATTCGATGGTATTAAAACCATTGGATGCAAGTGGGTTTTCAAGAAGAAAACCGACATGGATGGCATCGTGCATACCTATAAGGCACGACTCGTCGCGAAAGGGTTTCGGCAAATTCATGGTATAGACTATGATGAAACATTTTCACCAGTCGTGATGCTTAAATCCATACGGATTCTGCTAGCCATAGCTGCGTATTATGACTACGAGATATGGCAGATGGACGTCAAGACCGCATTCCTTAACGGGAATCTGCTCGAGGATGTGTACATGACACAACCCGAGGGTTTTGTCGATCCTAAGAGTCCGAGGAAGGTGTGCAAGCTTCAGAGATCCATTTATGGACTGAAGCAGGCTTCGAGGAGCTGGAATCTTCGATTTGACGAGGCAGTCAAAACGTTTGGCTTCCTGCAAAACGAAGATGAGCCATGCGTTTACAAGAAGGTCAGTGGGAGCGCAGTGGTCTTCCTTGTACTTTATGTGGATGATATATTGCTCATCGGAAATGACATTCCTACCTTGCAAGGAGTAAAATCCTGGCTAGGATCAGTCTTTTCGATGAAGGACTTAGGAGAAGCCGCCTATATTCTAGGAATCAAGATCTATAGAGATAGATCGAGAAGGCTTCTTGGTCTAAGTCAGAGTACATACATTGACAAGGTCTTGAATCGGTTCAAGATGCAAGACTCCAAGAGGGGTGCCTTGCCAATGGGACATGACGTAGCTCTTAGCAAGACTCAGTGTCCAAAGACACAGGATGAGCAAGAGCGCATGAGTAGGATACCATATGCATCGGCAATTGGATCCATCATGTACGCCATATGCCTCGGCAATTGGATCCATCATGTACGCCATGTTATGTACTCGTCCGGATGTATCATATGCATTGAGTATGACTAGTAGATATCAGTCTACACCAGGTGAGGCTCACTGGATTGCGGTCAAGAACATCCTTAAGTACTTGAGAAGGACTAAGGATTTGTTCTTGGTATATGGCGGATTGGAAGACGAGCTCGCTATAAAGGGTTATACCGATGCTAGTTTCCAAACCGACAGAGATGACTTCAGATCGCAGTCAGGTTACGTTTTCTGCCTAAACGGTGGGGCTATTAGTTGGAAGACACTACAAAAAAAACCCCAAATTCCAACCGGCAAATCCGTTGGAAATGGCCGAAAATCCGTTGGAATTCGACATTTCCAACGGATTTCCAACGGATAAATCCGTTGGAAATCAGTCGTTAGAAACGCAGATCCGTTGGAATTCCGTGGCAAATTCCAAACGGAATTCCAACGGCTTAATCCGTTGGAATATTTCAACGGATTCCCAACGGTTCTTCCGTGGTATGTTTTCAACGGAATTCCAACGGATATATTCGTCGGAATATATCAACGGAAATTCCAACGGGTGTCCGTTGCTAGTTTCCGACGGGACCGTTAGAATATCCGTTAGAAATATTCCAACGGATTTACAACGGTATTTGCCACGGATATCCGTTGGAATTTCCGTTGGAAACTCCGTCGAAATGTTACAACGGTATTTACAACGGCCGTCCGTTGGAATTTGAAATTCATTCCAACGGATCGCCGTTGGAAAACCCGTTGGAAAACACAAAAAAATAAATAAAATAAATAAAATAAATATTTAAAAATAAAATAAATTTATTTATTTTATTTTTAAATATTTATTTTATTTTTTTATTTATATTTATATATATTAATATATATATAATATATATATATATATATATAAAATAAAACCAAAATAAAATTAAAATATTAAAAAAAAATTGTTCGAATATTACAAAAATATAAAATATTTTCAACAATAATAATTAATTGGCACTGAGTTTCTTCGTCCTCGCTAGTCCCGAGATTACGTGCCGTCGTTTCTGCTCCCGAGCTTGGCGGCGTATTGTGCAGTGGTCGATCACCCCGCAAAAACTCGACGATTTGTTCGAGGTTAGACACTTGTTGCCTCGTCGCCGCAAGTTGTTGCTCGAGTGTCTCAATCCGCCGTTGTTGTTCGAGATAGTTCTGCATGCCAGGAGGAATTGCTGCACCGAAATCATCGAACAAATCTCGCTGCAATCCTCCTAATCCATAGATGCGGCTCTTATTTGGAGAGACCGACTGGAAAATGAAGAAAATATTTAAAATTAAAATAAAATATTAAAATATAATATTTAAAAATGAATTATTTTAAGTTTTACCTCCACATAACAACGATATTGGTCCGATGCAGAGAGACCGGATGAAGAACCCGCTGAATCGCCAACATTTTGCGAGAGTTGGGTAAGTCGTTGAGTTACCGTGCTTACAACTCGTTCTGCACGGGGATCGACATATGTCCCATCGGACTTTTTGTGTGTCCGAGCGACCAACTCTACGATTGATGGCGTTCTCCCAATTTCTTTCTCCTATATATATATATATATATATATTAT